CTCTCTCTCTCTCTCTCTCTCTCTCTCTCTCTCTCTCTCTCTCTCTCTCCATTCACACTTTATTCCTTTTATGACACTTGGGCATATTTTGCCAAGATTTGCAACCCTAACTTTACAAATGCATCATCTTGTTCATTAGGATTCATCCTGAGTTAAGTTTGATGGTTTGCAGGCTAGGAAAGGACTTACTAGAAAGATGTTCAAAGCATCTATTTAGGAAGCAGAAACACCCCCCCCCAAAAAAAAAAGATGAAGAAAATAAAACAAATCTGAAGCACCTATAAAATTATCTATCCACTTTTCCCACTGCATAGCATAGCACTATGCACAGGAACAGCATCTACAAATTTTCCATTGACCTGATCTGAAAAGCTATTGTCAAGAAAAAAGTTCAGCTAATCCAAATTTTCAATCTGGTCAAATATACTTGTGCTTACAAGGGAATCAATAACTGTCAGTTAAGTGCTGGATAACTGACAAACCTATTTCATATTCCTGCAGAGTGAAAATCAAGACAACTGAGAAGAAAGTTTACCAAAAAAATTACCAGTAACCCACATTTATGTTTGTGTATATATACAAAAATCCATATATATTTGTGTGTGTATATATACTTACAAGAAACACACAAAAAACAATATACATACATATATATGTAAAGAAATACACAAACACAATATATACACACACACAAACACACACACATATATATTCTTTTGCTAATGTAGTGAATATGCAAAACAAAAGAAGAAAGAAAGGAGGGAGAAAAAGGCAGTATAGAGGACAAACAAAAGGCAAAATTTTATCTGACTAAAATAATGATGTCCTGTCATGGGCACCTCGGTATGCAATGTATGTCTCCCTAACTTTCTAGTGCTTTACCCATTGTCCCCAGTATCATTGTAATTCCATGTAAATCAGTGAGTCAACATGAGAAAGAATGATGAAAATCTCCTACTTGATATTTTTTGCATCTTTTTTATCTCACATATAAATAAATATAAATGTGAATATAAAATTTTCACCAGCATATATTCCTTTTGCATGGGTAGTAGGTTAAACACAGACATATATTAATTAACTGAATGACGCTGTGTAGTAATCACATATACTGAAGACAGTTATTCCTGGTGAGGGCCGGGGAGCTTTTACATTTCAACCATAAGCGATACCAAATTTAAAATCACATAGAGTTCTGTTTGGAGTTAAAGTTAAATATTCTTTCTATCAAGGCAACAAAAAAACATAGAAGTAAAATAATGTTCTAAGTTGTTGTTCTAAAACTAGGAACTTTGGAGTTGTTATAACCAGTCCTTTATTGGTCTATGTACTTACGTTCACATCTGATGCATATTCCAAGATCCTACAGTGAAATGTCCCAAATGCACACTTCATGCGAAAACTGACAGAAATATGAATAAACCACCTTTTGAGCCCATGCTATCACACCAGTGTGAGCCTCTGTGTTGGGACAACATATTACGATTTTGAATGATGTTATCCCCAAGGGAAATATGACAAAGCGGAAAGCAAAACCCTGTAACATCTTCTGCAGCATCTTGTGAATTTTAAACAATTTCAGAATCAAGAGGCATTTTGAAAGATATTTAAGACATGGTATTGATGCATACTTCTCTCGTGTGCTTCCTAAGGCAAGCTATGCTTACTGTTTGCATTATGAGATGGATTTTGCATTTGTGTTCACAGGGACTTTGCAGGACAACATCTCAGGTGTCAACATACTGATTTCTCAGTCTCCTAAGCAGCAGGTCAAATGTTGGAACCTTATGCAAATATACAGTTTAGCACAGAACTTTATTAAAAGAGGACTGAAGAAATCATCAGCTTCCATCTAAGTTCAGAGTTGTACTGGTTACCAACTAGGGTTCTTTTAAAATAGGATACAAGAGACCAGATTTTCCAAATTTTACTTGTGAAAGTGAGTCCATTTTATATTCCAATTTTATTTAATTTTTTTCTGAATGGTCACAACATTAATCTACTGGGAATATCTAGTTCATATATTTGAAATTCCATTTATTTTTTTCTATTGATACGCATGTATTACACTTTTATATAATACAGAGTTTCCAGTGTTGTTTTAAATGACATAGTTTTCGAAATGAGAAGCATGATCCTTAATTTCAAACAAACCTAGGATAAACTCATAATATCCAAAACGATAGTTTTTCATTTTGTACCAAAGAAAGTAGTGATAATTTGTTTGACAGAGAAAGTCCAGCACAACTGTTACTCCTTTCATATTGACTCTGGGTAGATTTGACCATTACAAAACCCATGTAGAACCACCCAATTGGGTGCAATTAAAAGTGAGGCAGGAATCACTTCATTCCATATTTTCATGAGGCAGTTGACTTTCACTCAGTATTAGAAGTGTCGTTTTCCAATTTAATTTTTAACAGATTTTTACGCTTTTAGCTGTTCTTCCTACTAAAGGTTCTTGTTAATATGTGACCCTTTGAGCATTGTTACAGACTAACAGATACAAATTCTTCTCTAGAATATGTGAACCTCCATCTTAGAAACCAACACAAGGTGAACTGGCTTTGTCAGTGAGTTCTAGAAATGCAAGAAGTCCTGAACATCTTCACTCTTTTACTAAAATGATGGACGACCTAATAGGATGATCTGTGAAACATCTTTCAATCAAACTAAAATAATTAAGGCATGGAAAACCCTTGCCTTTATATTCCTTCAAGCTATCGGTTTACATGGTATTATTATTATTATACGGTGGCAACTCAGTACTCACTGTTCCCTTCCCCCACATCACAAGTGAAACAAAATAAATGCGGTACAAAATTATACATTCTGTAGTAACTTAAAAAAAAAGGTAAATCAATGTTTAAGGCCTTTAAATATTTGTAAGAGAAATCACAAAGAACTAAAAATCACAAGTTTTATGATGGATGTGAAAATAATGGACAAAATACTGGCCAAGAATTGTTTAAATGGAACAACCATAAGCAAGTATTTAGACCTTTGTGGTCAAGGAAAATCAACAGGTTTTTTCTTTTTTTCTATCCACAGACTGAACAAATATATAAGCATTCAAGCAGTCATTGGAATCAAGCAAGAGACAATCTTCGAATGAGACAGAAAGGATAGTTTAAGAAAATGCTAGAAGAAATGTAAGTGATTAGAAATTAGAGAATCACATGCATCCCTGGTGTGTTTTGTTTTATTTTTGAAATCAAAAGCTCTCTGCTAATTTGACTGTACACTGAGGGTTTCTGTGAAGGAAAGTAAAAGGAAACATAAAAAAGAAAGTACACTTAAAAAAAAACTGGAAGGAAGGGTGCACTAGAGGCACAGAGTACTGTGTAATGGGAATTGGAATCCAGTCCTAACTGCTATCTGTTAAACTGTCAGAGAGCTGCAGTCACATGTTAGCCTTGGGGAAATGTGTCAGCTCGCTTGCACATTCTTACATGAGGGATGTATTCAGATCACTGTGATTTGCCAATGATTATCATTACCAATGGATAAATACTTCTATTCCTTTCACAGGGGCAAGTGTAAGATGTTAAAACAAGTAGGCTTTCAGAGTTTCAAGGTTAGAATACCAATAAAATTGTCTCTGCCTATGCCATGCCGGAAAAGTTTGCAAAGGGAACGTCATCGAAGCTGTGCACAGTCCTACTGGACAAGGAACAAAGGAGCCAGGAGCACATCCATGATAGTACAGTGAGCTTGGGAGACAGCTTCAGACACAAGAACAGTCACAGCTGAAGCCAGAAACCTTACAGGTGACAGTCTCTGCTGTCACCCCAGAAAACCAACTCTATCGAAGCTCTGTGGAGAGCAGTGTCCACTTTCCTCAGAAGAGTCATGAGCCAAGCATAGTTCACAGCTGATGAAGTCGTCAGGACCCAAAGTTTACTTCAGACTTCTTTAAAGTCTCAGTTTCAGTAAGAAGTAGATGAAAACCCATAGAATCCCTTGGAAATGGGTTTTAAATGTCTCTTCTAAGAGGTATAAAAATCTTCAAGGTCCCTGCAGGAGTCCAGTTTCTATTCTTGTGTCTCCAAGAACACAGCCTTGAGGATTACTTGATTTAGGAGTGGTTAATGGGTTACCTGGAAAGGAAGGAAAAATATGATCAACACTCTATAATAAAGCTACAATCTCAGTACTAGTAAACAGTAACTAACGGTTACTAGGGGTTACTCACTATAGCAAACACATCACTGAATCCTCTGGAACACCCATGTTCACATACTTGTAAAAACAAATATATGTTTTCTTTCTATTATTTTGTAATATTCTTGAAACAACATTCATTATTCTTTCAAATGTCTCCAGCTATGAGAAAGATATTAGCTACTGGCAATAGTTTCCTTGTTTGAAGGAGAATGATTCTGAGAATCCTCTCATTTGTGAAGACAAGGTAGCTATAATCTGTAGATCTCTGTAGAGAAACATCTTTGGTCACTGGAGTTCAGTCAGAGAATGTTCTCAACCCTTGAAGACTCATTCTAAAAAAATCCATTCTCAAAACAGCATAAAAAGTGGGGGGTGGGGGTGTGCTATCAGAATCTGTTATATGTTCTGAAAAATACTATCTCTGTATGATCAGAAGAATGTTTGTGGAAGCCAAGAATGAAGAACAGTGCTACAATGGCTTACCAAATTTCAAAGTGTGCATAAAACTAATTGTAATTTTAATGTAACTTGACTCAATTAGGAAGATTCACAGCAACTATTAATAGCCTATATATTTATATATGAACAAAATGAAAAGAATGTGCTATGAATAAATTATTTACAGTTGCAGAAGTGATATAGGAAAAACACAAAACTACTGCTATGTTAATTCACTCCCCTTACACTAATATCTGATAGGTTCTCCTGAGGAAACCCCCTAGAAATTATCTTCTACTAATGGGTATTACAAAATGTGACATTTTAAAATTAATGTGAACACCTGGTTCTATTTCATGAGGTGACACAGCTGCTTAGCCTTTGATAAGGTTTTGTTTGTTTGTTTGTTTGTTTGTTTGTTTTTTAAAGGCTGGCTTAGTTTGCTGTCTTGTGATGTGCTATGAAAAATGAAAGTATTAAACTCAATAATAAGGTAACTCTAGACTTTGCCCTACCATAGATGATCTCGAGTTAGACTAGAAAAAGACAAGCAAAGTTCAAAATGTTTTTGAAACACGAGGACAGCTATCTTGTTTTCGTCTTGTGGACAACTGCTACTTTTCCTATTGTCCTTCTTACTCTGGGGGTTACTGCGTGAAGGGCATGTTGAAGTACAGAGACCATGGGAAGTTGAAATATCTCAGGAAGGACAGAGTCTCAGCAGGTTGTCTGCCATTGAGTGCTCATCCCACACAATCTGTGAAGGGCTCCCAGAAAGTAGGCATAAGAAGGAAAGGGGAAGAAAATATTATCTCTATAGACATTATGTAAAAATGCTAATGGACATAGTTGATCATTATGGGAAATGCTGAAAAAAGTATTTTCATGATAACATTTGCCCGTAAACTCTATATAGCATAACCTGTGACTACTATTAGCTGATAAAGGTTCATCTACATTTTCTCAAACTTTTTTCCTCCTGGTTAGAATATTGATTAAGTGTAACCTGGGGAACATAATTGTAAAACTGGTGTTAAAACAATAGAAAAGGTAAAGGGGTGTTGGAAAAGATTGAGAGAGAAGAATTGATTGGTTTTAGGAAGGGATTAGTGACCTAATGAGTCAGGATGCTAAAGGTGGGACAGGAGAGCAGGAGAGCACGATCCCTAAGACAAGAGGGAAGGGGACCGCTCAGCTGCTTTGAAGCCTCAGCTTTGAGTCACCTGAAGGTTACTGTGATATTCCCATAATTATTTCTTTATCTGAAGGTAAATATTTGTTATTGTTGGTTTATGAAAAAAACCTGTGGGAGGATTCTGCTGGTCTTTTGTGTATGAATTGAAGCCTTGTCTTCAGATAGTTTCAAAAACAAACAATATTAAAGACCTCCTTCTTCAAAACCAATGTTTCCTGCATCTTTGAAAGTCTCTGTGTGTGCATATCTATATATAATATGCATTAATAAATATGCATATCCATACATATATACAAGTAAGTATAAATATATACACACAAAAATATCATAAATGCATACTTTTATAATGAATTTTGTCTCTTGGCTAAAATAATAGCGTATAGCCAAAAAAAAACTTAAACATGACCGTATGAGGTAGTTGTATAAAAATAAGAACTAGTAAGTATGGAATAAAACATAAAGCATTTTTCCTCACATTAATATTTGTACAGAATTCTTTGTTCAATACTTTTCTCAGATGAGGTGCATCCAGTAAAATAATTTCTAGTATCAAATGACAGTGGACAGTCTATTTTAGACTTGATCCTTCTATTTGATTAGGACAAATTATGGTGAGACATGTGACACACTGGATTAAAGCCAGTATGGTAGGGATACTTTCAGACTCTATCTCTCTCGGTATTTTTTTTAATATAAAATGCAGATGATGGTAGATCTGCTGTAAGAATGGGACGTCACAATGCCTATAGAAACATCTAGTTTTATCAACGTTAAACACCACAAAATAACAATTTCAGATATGAAAAAAGAGGCATTGAAATAGAATGTAAGAAGTCTTAGACAGATATCCAGATAAGTCTGGGGGCAGCAGATGGAGGTAAACTCAGGTTCTATCCTTTTCAATATAGAATAAATTATACACATGAGCATATATCAGCATGCCCTCTGGCAACCTCTAGTTTTATACCAAATATAATGGCAGAACCAGTAAGACACACACATTTTCAAATATATTTCAATATATTATTTTAAACATAAAACACTATCATGAGTATAGATAATCGCCTCCAATTTAAGTCACCTAATAAGCACAATTCAAAGGATACTTAAAAACAAAATCAACAAAACTGAGCAAAGAAAAATCAATCATTTAATAATTTCTATGCACACTTGAAAAAGTCTAAATGCTCAACTTTAAATCCTGGCTTACGACTAGATGAAGATAAGTACTATCTTGCTGGCTATAATCTATAAATTGGGATTTCCTGGCATATAAGAGTTTCTCGAGTAATCTTTATAAAATCCAGCATTTTAACAAGGAAATGTTATTAAGACACCACATAAACATTACCCTATTTTTAGAACTATAATATAACACTTTACACTAAAAGCTTATGTCTGATAAAATATCAAACAGTAAAATCTTCACTTTCTAAAAATAATCTTAGCAAGTTCTCATCTATTACAACAGGAGGGTCCAGGATACAGAACTCTCAGTCACTCCCATGTTTGCATTCTACCTTCTTGTTCCAAGGGGCTACAGGCACAACATGCTGCAGGAGACAGAGAAATAATTCTAATTTTACATCAGCACCACGTGCCATAATTGCTGCTTCAGGGCATCTCTCTGCCTTTGCAGAAGTCGTGTTTCATGCAGCTGTTCTCACATCATCTTATTTGATGCCTATTGGCTGGTGTGCTACGTGCAACGGTTGGACTGATTCATCCATGTTAATGAAAAGAATAGTAATACTAACAGTAACCCTGTGTCAAGCACGGAGATATGCTTGAGTGGCTCTGATGAAGAAGCTAATGTGGCAACAATAAACCCAGGTGTTCAGGACTGGAGCATCCAGTTGTACCAGACCAACAGATCAACTCCAGACAGCTGCTTAGATTCTCAGATATGTGTGTCAAATCTATTCACCACTTGAAACTGAGAAAATACAGAGCAAGCAAGCAACGCGTAAGACACTATTTAAATCTGAAATGAGTAAAGTCAGTTATTTTTAGACAGTCTGCACTTGATGCTTTGAATGTTTTTAAATGTCCTCCATCTTTCTTCAAATTCTACAATGGAAGGGCATTCAAATCTACTCTTTCTCCAAGTGTTTACAAGTATTTAAGCAATTTGGAAGAATCTTAATATGATATATTCGTAAAGTCTAATTTTCCTTGCTTCCCAAGTCCTACTAACTGGGTAGTAAGTGGGAGCTGAGCCTCGTGGGAAACAATATGGAAATAGTGTGACCTCTGCAGGCAGATTGTGGGTTCAAATCCAGGCCCTGTGGCTTTCAAATACTGGAACTCAACACATGACTTAATCTTCCCATGTATAATTATAGAACAATATTATTACCTTGCCACACTCATTTTTAATATAATTAAACCAAAAATCCCTTACAAAGAGTCCATCCTAGTATATGCATTTAAAAAAATAGCAGGTGGTATCAGTGATAATTCTCAAATAAGACACAAAAATGACATGCAGAGTTCTCATCGGCCACTGTCATTGCTGTGTGTTTATGTAGAAATACTGATTAAATTGAGATTATTGGTTTTGTTTTTTTGTTTGTTTGTTTGTTTTTGGTTTCCAATAGTAGCTCACCTTGCAATTTGTTCTTTGAATAATACTGTTTTTTAAAGTCATATATTAGGAATTTCACACTCTGATAGCTTTGGGTAAAATGTCTTTTCAGACAATTTCGTACAAAATAATGATTAAACGGTTGATCTGTGGCACCAGGCTGTCAGTTCTGCAGATGATTTGATATGATTCAAAATACAGATTAGACTAACATTTGCATCCTATGGCCATGAGCTAGGAAGTATCGTGTACTAAGGTCAGTGTCACACAGTCAGTGTTGACAAGGCAATCACCTCTGATGTGTGCACTCTAAGCACTGAGCTAAGAAGTATAGACCTGTATGTGCCAAAGACAGTGACAGGCTCAGTAGCGTCTACAGTGTAACCACCACTTTTCAGACACAAGCATTTTAACATTTCCCATGCTGAGCTGATTGACTCTATGTCCATGTGCATATGGAAAGCACTAACTCAACTCAGTAAGTTATAGCAAAGATAAAAACCATTATAAGGCATCTCTATGCACATAGAAAATTGTTTTGCCCCTATTATTAGGCAGAGATTACACATCCTCTCGGATTCTTATCTCCCTTTCCTTTTGTATCTCTCTCTTTGTGTTTTCTATGAGCCATCTTCCATGAGACTTTGTATGCTGGACATTTATCTAAGGAATCAAGACCACGTTTTATCCAGGAATAAAACCTGCAACATGATTATACAGATGTGAAGATGCCCTGCCATACTGAGGGTCACTCTGATGATGCAGATGTGAAGGTGCCCTGCCATACTGACAGTTACTCTGATGTCATTATTTAATGGAACATCATCTGAACACCTTTGTTCAGGTTGCAATTTGTATAAATTTGTGAAATCACTTCCGACTCTGTGTAGCATCGATGTGAATCTTCTGCTGTTTACAGAATGGCATACTCTTTTCTCTAACATAGTCATTAAAATCTTGTTATAGAATACTGTGCAATAGCATTTATATCCTTGTCGTTATAAGTCACGCACACACACATTAATGGGAGAGATGCTCTGTTTGAGTGGTAGACTCAATTTCATTCCAAAGGGAGTTAAGTTTTCTCTAAAGTACCCATGTCATTAGCAAAACATTTATTTTTGTACTAATGAACATGTTTTATTTAAGCAAGTGGAAGGCTGGGAAGTGTGGCTGTATTTCTGAGAGAAAGAAGCAGGTTTAAATGCAATCTGTGTCCAACCTGTATAAGAGCTGCTTAATAACGTCGCAAATAGACACAATTGAACACTAACACTCCAACAAATTTAGCTTGCTCAATAAAGGCCCAAGGAGCAGCAGAATCCCTACATAATCTTAAGAGCTGATGTGAATGAACTTTTCTTTCCTTGGAACAGAATTGCTGCTCACTGCAAATGAATTTTTTTAATGTACCTCTTACAAGAATATGAATGTAGCCCTTGCTTCACCATCTGTATACTAAATGTGCAATTAAAACGTTATTATTCCACAGTAACAGGTTTTTTCATTTAAGCTAGAGAGAAGCTGCCATTAATTTGGTGATAACTGTGTATGAACATACTCACCCTGTCTCCAAGCATGCTATGTGAAGTGTCACAAAACAGAAGACACCTGACTGTCAAAAATGTGCATGTACAAACCAGCTACCCGGATAGCTTTCGGGTTTTGATGACAAGGGACTACACAAAACAGGGGAAATGAATCCTCTTTATAAGAATACTCATCTACATAAAATTAAGTGTATATTCTATTTCCGTAGTAATACATGTAGCATCTATAGCTCTGAAAAATACCGCATGCTCATACCACAGCTTAATTTCTCTTGCAGAGAATTCTGGGACTGAATCAGCCTTGGTATTCGTTCTAACCGCTGGGCTAGTAAAGGCTGTCTATTCAATACTTGACCATGAGTAAGCATAACTACTGAATGATCTTGAACTATTTTCAGTTAATCTTCTGTCTAAATTCTTGACTATTTTAACAAGCTTGGGTAACCTGGAAAAGATTCACTGTAGACTACCCAGGGCATTTCAGACAACTACAGACAGCTAACTAATCCTGTTTAGGTATAATTAGGGTGAGTTTGCCTGGAAACAGAGGGGTGAAGATACCCTGGATGTGGCATAGAGTCCTCTGCTCTTCTGGCAGAGAGACTGTGGTAAGTGGGATGAGATGAGACAGCCTTTGTATGCTGCTATGAAGACTGTTAGTTCTAAGCTGCCAACCTTGTCACTTGGACTGAGTTCCTAACTTCTCTCTCAGCCCCAACTAGTACGATGCCACTCTGTATATAATTTTTTGAAAAATGTTATTATTATCATATATAACAGCAGCACTGGGGAATTGTTTGCACAGACTGAATGTCTGGGCTTTCTGAGCTGTGCAAATGTAGCCTTCCATGGGAATCTTCAGAACAATGGACTTAGGCTCTTTCTCAGAACTTTGAGCCTTACATGTCTCCTGGAAGTGGATGAGTGTGCTTCTTATGAACCACTCTCCCTTTAGTACGGAACACTCATCCACAGTTTGACTTAGCTATTAGCAAATGAACTATGCTTCACTTTGTTACTCACTGGTTATCTGATAAACAACACTGGCATTTTTCAGAATGTGTTAGCTAAAGATGTTTTTTACTTCTGTGCCCCCCCAAGCCCCGCAACTTGCACACTCTCTATTCCTGGTGGAAGACAGACACAGAAAAACAACAATAACCTTAGGTAATATATAGAAGCAATCAGAATGAGGATAAATATCCTAAAAAGTTAAAAAAGAAATCTTAAGACAGGAAAGTAATTCCTGAGGAGAATCTGGGTAGATTTTTTTCAAAGATATGAATTATATATTCTAGCATTGGAAAGTTTAGAGAGCATGAGAATTTTTTTTTACTTCAATTGGAATGTGCCTCACCTGTCAAACTTGATATTACATTTGTTTTTTAGGATTCACCTCTCATTTATACAGAATAATTTGAATGGATAGTTTTTACCCACTTTCTGCAGTAAAGTGTTAGCTTAAAATTTAAGCCTAGTCAAGAACTATCCTCCTCAATCATTTCAGCTTCACTGCAGTAGAAGCTACATGAGAACCCTAATAAAGAACAAACCCTGTACTTCAGAATCAGTTTGTAGCCAGTGGGACTTGGAAAGGGGGACTGGAATTGAAACCATCCTTTGCACTGGGTTGGGATTGCTAAGAACATTTTCTCTTAACTTGTGGTTGGTTTGAGTTCCAAATGAAATGGCTTTCTGTAACATTTCTTGGGCCACCTGTCCAGACAAATAACATGGTGCTGTCATGATAAAATAAATTCTTGGTATGACTTGAGGAAGCACAAAGTCAGAATATCTTGAGAACATTCTAGAAGGAGGACATGCCCTATCATCCTTCCCCATTCTGTTAGCTTCAGTGATAATCATTCCATATGTGGTAGTAACTTTTTAAATACCTTTCTGTGCATTGCAAAGATAAAAACAAATCCATTCTCTGAAGGAAAGAACATCGTAGCTAATGATTTCAACAAGCTGGCTGTACTGACTATGCATGCAACTCCAGCCTATACTACCATCACCCAGTTATTATCTTCTGTGGGGCTTCCTGATAATATAATTCAGTAGTCTCAAATTTCTAAAATATATACATACCTACATATATATATACATATATGTATATGTATATATATATATGGTATAAATATGTGTGTATATATTATATATGTAATATACCTATGTATCCCTGTTATATATACATATATATGTGTGTATGACTATATGGATATATATGTATGTGTGTGTTTGTGTGTGTGTGTGTGTGTGTGAGAGAGAGAGAGAGAGAGAGAGAGAGAGAGAGAGAGAGAGAGAGAG